TTCTCCAGGGAAACTGAGCTCTGCCATCTAGAGGTTGTAATTCTGAATGATCTCCAGCCCTCAGCTGGAGAATATATTAACACATACAAATGTCACAATATATCAAAGTAGATAAATATTGTTCAAAGAGTCCTTTTTAAAGAATCATAAGACGACGTTGACGAAATTCCCTGGAGTATGCTTCTGTTTCGTGCTGTACTTCTTCTGAATGTAGTCAGGTAAACAAAATTTGTGTCCTCCAATTATTCATTCATTATAGATTGCAATCATTCAGAAAAATATTCAAGATGGTCCTCATCCATTGTTCTAAGTAACTGCCCGTCTGGCAGAGAATCCACTGTTGAACTGAGGTGATTGGAACCATCAACTCTCATCAGGAACAGGAGACTGACACCAAGAGCCTCTGGGGCAATCTCCCATTTTGTGCTAGGAGATCAACTCTTTCATGCTCCTTGTTTCTTTGCCAGTGCCAACAGGGCTTAAAAGAGTGTAAAAGAGTCACACTCCACAGGAGAGCGTGAGAGAGAGACACACACACACAGAGAGAGAGAGAGAGTACACTTGCTGGGGCAGCAGCATGCTTAGTGGAGGTCCGGTGGAGTGCATTTTGCCCAGCCCCCCCAACCTGGTTCCAGCCCCTCCGAGGTGATCAGAAGAAATCTCATCACATACAACTTTGTTTATTCCTAGACAAAGGTTTTGTTGGTCACATTAGCAGGTGAATTTTACTTCTTTTTACCTTATTGTTTGTGCACACTCTTATGACAGAGGTCCTGTGTGCTCTCTTGGTAATGGGCTAGCAAAATGTAATTCTTTGAAATGGTTGGATAGCATTAATACGGTAGCTGCTCTCCTTTTTGAAACATTATTGCTGCTTTCAGTAGAGCTTTCTTAATATTCTGAATCCAGCTGAGCTCATAAAAATCTGTGCCCATCCTTTTTCAGTGCAGGTTTCCTGCTCAGGCTCTGCTAGAAGTTCAAAATAATATTTTATATCCCATGAATTATGTGTTCTAATTGTGTTTTAAGTTTGGATGCAAAACGTAGTAAAATCTCTTTATGGCAAGAGGTACTTCTGCCCTTTTCCCTTGGCCTCTAGACTGTGCTTCCCTGTTGCCACAGTGAGATACGGCTCTGTGTCTCACAGCTTCAGATGAAGGTTTGCTTTGTGTACATATAGGCCTTTGGAAGGAAGAAACATGTTCATGTCTATGCTGAGCTCTCAGCTTTCAATCATTTGCTGTTTCATTGCCTGATGTTTCTTCAGTAGAGAGAAAATACCTGCTGCTAGAACAGACAGGAGTGAGCCACCTCACCTGGGGCAACCAGGATACTGCAAGATTCAAAACTTTAAGTATTAATAGATAAATTGTTTGGAATGGGGCATGTGGGAGTTGCACAGAGTTATACAAGGATTATACAAAGTAATATAGGGAATCTGTATTTCAGGTTCTTTTCCAAATTGAAAACTCAACGGACAATTTTGCTGAGGACACTTTGGTTTGAACTAAACAATCAGAAATTGTTATCAGTGAAATATCATTTGGCATGTGATTGGATCTTGGGAGGCCTAGTTTATGCTTTTATTCTGTGCCTAGTGGTTTCACTTTGGAACAATTCTTTTCTGGTCCATTTTGTATCCATGCTGTGTAAGGGTGCGGTCACATGCACCAGATAAAACAGGGGGGAAGCAAGGCTATTTCCTCTGGAGGAATTTGACCCGCAGTTGCACGATCACACCTCCCTTTGAAGCTGCGGGCACAGTCTATCAGTGTGTGATCAGACGCAACTGCGGGTGAGTCATCTTTTTGTGTGCCGGTTGTTTCCCAGATGTTGTCTGATCGCTCCCTTTAAATCTGCCCGGCATTCGCACCTATTTTGGGTCTAATTGTGTGTATGATCGCAGCCTAATTGTATTGCATTATGGTATAAGCCAATTTGTTCCTCATTGTGTTAGACCTCCGAAGGAGACCTAAACAGGCCAAAAAAACATCAGGTCAAGTCCATTGGCCCTTGTGTGTATGATTTTGGAATTTTTATATGAGGTGTACTTGGGTCCCTATATGTTTTTTAATTCTTTACAAATAAATACATGTATTTTAATGTGTGTGTATGTGTGTGTATATATATATAAAGGGTTAAGTGTTTCTCTTTTTGGTTCACTGGATGCTTAGCCTTCCATCGAGAGGCTGTAGCCATTCTAGCTGCCACTAGCAAGAATTCCATAAGCCTTGATGTAGACCATGGTATATCAAGCCCTAACCCTATATTAAGTAATAATGCTTCTGGATGATGTTGTAATTTGTGCCCTGTGATCACAAAAATATGATCTCCAACTTGACGCCAAAAAGCTTGAATGTAATCACATGACCACCAACAATTAATGTAGTTAGCATGAGTGCCACACAACTTCCAGCAATGTGGTTTGTTTGAATGATGTAGTAAAGCAATGTGTGCAAGCCTGACTGGAGTCAGATACCACCATGTTACAAGTTTAAAGTATTGGATGTGTTTATTGATCACTTTACTTTTGTAAACATAAGAATTCCATACTTTTTGCCATTGTGAACTTGTTAATTTTAAATGTTTAAGCCATAACACAATTGATAGTTTAAAAGGCTGCTTTACTACATGAAATTTTCATCCCTAATTTGCAGGGAAGAAACCAGCAGTTAAACTTTAGCCTGCTGATGTTTCATTAATGATTTGGAGATGGGAGTAAGCAGTGAAGTGGCTAAATTTGCGGATGATACAAAGTTGTTCAGGATGGTGAAAACCAGTGAGGATTGTGAGGCACTCCAAGGGGATCTGTCAAGGATGGGCGAGTGGGCGTCAACATGGCAAATGGGGTTCAATGTGGCCAAGTGCAAGGTGATGCACATTGGAGCCAAAAATCCTAAATATAAATACACATTGATGGGGTCTGAACTGGCAAAAACTGAGCAAGAGAGAGATCTTGGAGTTGTAGTGGATAACTCACTGAAAATGTCGAGACAGTGTGTGACTGCAATAAAGAAGGCCAATGCTATGCTGGGGATTATTAGGAAGGGTATTGAAAACAGATCAGCCAATATAATAATGCCCCTATATAAATCAATGGTGAGACCTCATTTGGAATACTGTGTGCAGTTCTGGGCACCACACCTTAAAAAGGATATTATAGCTTTGGAAAAAGTGCAGAAAAGGGCAACTCGAATGATAAAAGGGTTGGAACACTTTCCCTATGAGGAAAGGTTAAAGCGCTTAGGGCTCTTTAGCTTGGAGAAAAGACGACTGAGGGGTGACATGATCGAGGTTTATAAGATTATGCATGGGAAAGAGCAGGTAAAGAAAGAGGTACTTTTCTCCCTTTCTCACAATACAAGAACTCGTGGGCACTCCATGAAACTGCAGAGCGGTCGGGTTAGAACGGATAAAAGGAAGTACTTCTTCACCCAAAGAGTGATTAACACATGGAATTCACTGCCACAGGAAGTGGTGGGTGCTACAAGCATGGACGGCTTCAAAAGGGAATTAGATAAGCATATGGAGCAGAGGTCCATCAGTGGCTATTAGCCACAAGGTATAGCTAGGGGCTCTGGGGCAAGTGATGCTCTGTCTTCTTGGTGCTTGGGGGGGGTCAACAGTGGGAGGGCTTCTAATGTCCTGGCCCCACTGCTGGACCTCCTGATGGCACTGGTATTTCTGGCCACTGTGTGACACAGAGTGTTGGACTGGATGGGCCTTTGGCCTGATCCAACATTGGCGTCTCTTATGTTCTTATGTTCTTATGTAGCAGTCAAGGGAAAGGTTAGGCACCCCTGTCTCATCTATTGCTTCTTCCCTGCTCATTCTCACCCAGCCCCATCACCATCTTTCACCTTAACCTGTACCACAGGGATGTTATGAGCATCGGACTCTGGCCTCCTTGGAGAAAGGGTGCTTGCCAGCATGAAAAATCTTTTTAATATGATACCATTTGAATTTTCAGATTCTGTCAAGCTATGAAATATTTTAATATCTCTAATACCACACTAAGAGTTTTAAAAGTAAATAGTAGTAACTCTGATAGTAGAACCTTTATGTTGGGCCTCTTCACAGTAAAGGGTTGTGCTTACCTGCTGCTGCATATGGTTCCACGCAAGGAATTCTTAGCTGCTATTCAAACCACTATGTATAATGTTGGGGCATATCACTGTTTGTGTCCTTTTACTCATCTTCCTGAATCTCCCTTGGAAAAGTCCAGGCAGATAGTAAAAACATAAATGTTTTCCATGTTTACTTAACAGTATGTTCCACTGCATTCAGTGAACCTTATTCCAAGGCTAAGGGGATGGACCCGACTGATAAGTTCTTCTAACAGAAGGGAGAGTGTATTTTGTATTGTATTGATTCTGTTGATCCTATTAATCTTAATTAGCTAATTATGTTGAAACTATCATTATTAATGTATGGGTTTTTTAAATTTAGATAGACCAAGACTTGATATTCTAGATAAAATTGCATATTTGTGCTCTGCAAATTTCTATATTTACCTAATATGAGTATTCAAGTTTGGATTCACTAAACTTTGGAATATATATAAAGTTCAGTTTATCACGATAACTTTTTTTTGGGGGGTAAAGGTGTACTTTTTGTATGACTGGTCTAAGGACTGTAGAAATAAATTAAACTAAACTAAAAACTTTTTTCAAAAAAAATTCCTTGAAATTCTTTACAGTTGAATTTAAACTTTAGCCTACTGATGTTTGAATCTTCAGTTAAGTGATTTAGAATAGAGTCCCACTGATATGTTACTTTTTCTTTCTGAGCCAAATACTTGCAAATTTGAAATTTCTTTTACTAGTTCCACATTTTTCCTGTTTTTAAGGTATCTCAAACTAAACATCCTTAGTTCAGATTACAGATTTTTTGTCTGTATATATTAAATATTGCCATTTGTATGGTCGTCACAGACTTACTAGCTGTGAATTTTTGCATGCTTTACGAGTGTTATTAATTATTCTTTTATCTTCTTGTAGAGACTTGTGCTGTCAACAATGGAGGCTGTGACAGTAAATGCCATGATGCAGCGACTGGTGTGCACTGTAGCTGCCCAATGGGATTCATGCTCCAAGCTGACAGGAAAACGTGTAAAGGTAAATGGCAATTAAATGTATATCCAGTGAGAGAGTGGAGCAAAGCTTAAGTTATGAGGTAGCAATCCAACTATCCTACAGATACATTGGGATGCTCTAATATGAGAGAATGAGATTCTTCATTCTTATCCTGGTCTTGAATTAATCAGTGCATGACAACAGATAACGCGTTCAAACTCTTTCTTAGTTCGTTTATTTATTGCCATATATAGTTTATTTACTGTACTGTAGATTTACCATTTTTCATGAAGCAAGATTATTTTCTTTTACTGTGCAAAGAGAGCACTGTCCAAATTGGTCATACAGTAATTGCTGCGAGCAGTGTGAACTACTGGAGATACCAAACAGAGTGGGATAAAGTTATGGGCATCTTTGGACAATGCAGGTTTCCAGTGGGCCCTATGACTGTGTAAGTTACTATCCCAATATTTATTCTTCTGGTCTTTGTAAGACTTTATCCCTGTTCTGTGGCTAAATGTAAAACTTTCACCTCAATACCGTTTAATCAACCCAGTATCACCAAACCAATGAGACTGTCTTATCACTTTGCAAAGAAGATTTTCTATACCTCTTAGCATGCATATGTGAAAAGGAGCTGTTTTTTCACATACCCAGTGGGTTCATGAGCAAACACTTAAACTGATGAGACTACTACTTCAGGCACGGCCCTGTTAAATTAGATCTGCTTGCACGTATCCATGGTTTCTGCTCTGCATCAAGCCAATATCCTCGATCCAACCAAAGCATTTAAAGCTTTCCAGAAGGTTGTTTTTACAAAATAACAGAACAGTCGTTACTCATACATTACTCTTGACTCTGGATAGTTTTATCTAGGTAGCTCGTCTGTCACAAGGATTTCATATTTTACCGTGCACTCTTACTCGTGTTTTCTTACTTGGAAAATGCTATTCCTACCCCTGCTCCCCACTGCTATATCCATTTGCAAGTGAATGTGTTATGAAATATGATTAGAGACAGGCCATGGACATCTGCTGAATAATGCTGCAGCATCAACTGATGTGAAACAAGGTAACTCTTGGAAGGGTGTTTTTGTTTTGTTATTTTACAATAACAGTTTACCATTTACTTTGGCGGACATAGACTGATAAAATTCTGCTTAGGCTTGCACTGTTCGAGGCTGAGCACCACTCTGATGCTGGGTTGCACCTTTTTTTAAAAAGGAGCAAATTCCAGAAGGCTGCCCTTTCCCATTACAACAGTGCCCTATCCTTCATGGACTACTTGCTTTTTATTTTATTTATTCTTTAAAGGGTTGTCCCTTCCAGAGATAGAGCACACATTCCTCCCAATATATTTATTTTAAAGAGGCAATCGAGAAGAAAATTCAGTAAACGTTAAACAGAAAAATGCCTTCCTCCAATCCATTACACAAAGACAGGATATCACGCTGTTGGCGTTGGATCTGCGTTAGCATGAGGTTTTCTGTAAGAGAAGCGTGTAGGCTGGGTTTTTTTATCATCTGGAAAGGCTCGCAGAGAAAAAGGTGAGACTCCACAAATGGAGGGCATCTGTGTTCTGTCTCTGGCAGCTCCAGGGAACATGACCTTAGTTAAAAGGAAAAAGCCCTTCTGCTGAAAGCTGTCTAACCGCCTTACTGATTCCAGACCCCATTTGCTTCGTTATTATTTTTCAGAGCTCACCGCCTCTAAGATGCTAGAGTTCCAGGAAAGCATAATAACCCAGAGCCATATCCCCTGTGTCTGGGATTTTATTACAGTTTGGAGCTGTTTTACTGCTAGTTCACTTCACTCACAATAACAATAATAATAATAGTAAAAGCTCCAGCTTCATAGTTCTTGCTGGAACTGTTGGGGTGGGGGGGAGACAAGGGAGCAGCCTTGGATGAGGGCTGTCTGAGGTCTTTTTCTGGGATTTATCAGCCTTGGCTCATTCTATTTTACAGACCATTTCCTAGCAGTAAATTTTCTGGCTTGTAAGTAAAAATATCCCTTAACAGGTAGTTGGAGCTTTTTGAGAATTTAGGGAATTATGTGGGGGGTTTTATGTTTGCTTTTGCAAAACAGCCAAGTTGTGAGGTTTTAAAAAATGTTCACATTTATTTTCAAAACTACTGTTCTCTGAAGACTATTTCCTCTTCCAATTTATTTCTTCTTTACAGTCCCTCTCCTTGTTATTTGAGCACCAAAAGCCACTTAGCCACCTCATCCAGACCTTGATTATTGTGATCCTGGAGCCCGGGACATGTCTTAGCCTTCTCCCTCGCCTCCTCCCTTACCTAGCCACCTCATTGAGACACTAATGGCTGTGATCATGGTTGTCCAGGGCTGGATTTAGCTTTTTGCTACTTGAGGCAAAAATGTCTAAATCATTGCTGCCTTCACACTCCTCCAGTCTTAACATCTGGTGGCTTTCTACTCAAGTAGCTGCTGCTTTAGAGCACTTGCTGTGGGAAGCCTACACACTGTGTGTGTGACCAGTATTAATTCAGACAATGATTTGAATCCAGTAGCGCCTTAGAGACAAACACGATTTTCAGGGTATAAGCTTTTGAGAGTCAAAGCTCCTTTCATTAGTTCAGACAACATTTTAGTACTGAGAACATTTTATGCTCAGTTGCCTTTGAGGAAGAAAAATTACAATCTTAAGTATGATGATACATATAGGAAGAAAATATATCTTGTTCCAATGAACAGCTTCTTATCACCTTTTGAAGTTTTACTCCCATAAAATTATGCATCAAAAGGCATATACAGATAAGCTGCTCACCATGTGGGGAAACATGAGGAAGTCTGTTCTCTTCCTAAATGTTTGTTCAAGCGTTGCTCACTTCCTGAATAAGTGCTAAAAGCTAATATTCCATGATACTATCACTCTATAATTACTGACTTTTCTGGTGCTGCGAAGATGTTAAGTGGATTTTTCTTTATTCTTTTTAAAAAATATTCTTCTGTTGTGTGGATGTGCACGCATGCTGTCTGCCCATATGAGCATGTGCATATACCACTTCCATGGGGATTTTTAATGATGGGAAAAAAGTCCAAAAAAGGTTCACCTTGCATGTTAAACAAAGAAGGAAGTGTACAAACACCCCACCTAACTCCTTCATCACACAGTACCCATTGGTTTACTGAGGGCTTCGGATGATGAAACAGTTGGGCAGATGGTTAGAGTGCAAGTACAGAAAAACTCAAAGCAAATGATATGAAACACAGGTGAGAGAACATTATCATGTCTATTCTGTGGCTCTGGTGGCAGTGAAAACTCACTGTTCTACCATCATTGCGTCCAAACATTGCTGTCCAATGGAACTTTTCTGGGTTATGAAGGAGCTTTTATCTCAAGCCTCAGAGGATGTTGACCTGGAAAACATACAAGCCCACTGTGACTCCTTTGGAATGCATTTTGCTAATAAAATTGCTTGCGTCTGCCATGACTTAGACACCACAGTTGGACTAGTTCAGTCTCAGGATGTTATTGGAGTGTAGTCTGGTCCTAGCTGTATGGATGTTTTTCAGGTGGTGAGGCCTAATGAAGTGGACAAAGTGCTTTGAAGTGTGTGTCCCACCAATCTTGACTCATGCCCCTCATGGCTTATTACTTTAATGCCGGGCTGGGTTGGTTAACTGGGTACAGTAGGTAATCTCTCTGAGGGAGGATGTGCTACCAACTGCTTTGAAAAAGACAGTTTTGAGACCTCTCCTGAAGAAGGCATCCCTAAACTCAAATGACCTAAACAACTATCACCTGGTGATTAGTATTTCATTCTTGGGCAAGCTGCTGGAGCAGGTGATGGCTACACAGCTTTAGGCAGTCACTGCGGAGATGGATTATCTAGATGCATTTCAGTCTGGATTCAAGCCTGGGTTGTTCCCCATTCTATGTGATATCTACATGAAACCTCAGGAGACATCATCCAGGGATTTGGAGTGAGGTGTCACCAATGTGCAGATGACACCCAGCTAACAGCTAAGCCTGTGGCAGTCCTGAGAAGGTGCTTGAAGAAGATAATGGGATGGATAAGAGCCAATAAACTGAAGCTCAATCCAGACAAGACTGAGGTGCTATCGGCGCAAGTCTCATAGTAGGTGCAGCGCTTCAGATCATTCGAGAGCTTTCTGGCTCAGGAGTCAATGATTACCCAAGGATTTGTGGCACTGCTATTGGTCAATCGAGAAGCTTGTCAAAGACTGCAGAGTCAGCATGTCCTAGATGGGGTTGCTCTACTCCTGAAGGAGCAAGTTAATAGCTTGGGGTGCTACTGGCCTATGGTTGGAGGCTCATTATCTGTCCGTAGCACATACCTTTATCAGCTCCAGCTGGGTTGCTAACAATGGCCATTCTTCAAAAGGCTAATCTGGCCAACAGTGATGCATGCTGTGATCACATCCAAATTTGTTTACTGTAGTGACCTCTATGTGGGGCTGCCTTTGAAAATGGTTTGGAAACTTCAGTTGGTCCAAAATGTGGCAGCTAGACTATTGTCAGGAGTTGGTTACTGGGATATTATCACCCCTGTACTGAAAGAACCACACTGGCTCTTTTGTTTCTGGGGACAACTCAGAGTACTGGTTCTTACCTTTAAGACCCTAAAGCCCTTGCTACTAGGGTACCTGAAGAACCATCTCCTCCCATACTATTCAACCAGCCAGTTAAGATCTGCCTCTCAGGCTCTGCTTTCTGTGCCTCTGCCTTCAGAGGTGAGGTGGGCAGCAACTAGAGACAGGTCCGGTGCCAGGTTTTTTTGCACACTAGGTGAGGCTACCTTCTCCCCCCCCCCCCCGGGCCCCCCCCATTTTTTAAACAAAAAGACATTTTAGGAAGAATGAAAAACACAAAATTTGAAATTGCTAATTTCTTTTTTTTTAATTGTGAGAACAAGTAATACAATCTCTGATTTTCTGTCTCAAACAGAAAAAGACAAATCACAGAGCATTTTGAAAAATCCTGTTAATTGTGATGTTGAAATTTAAGCCTCTTTAATGTTTCCATTTCAGGCACATCAGAATCTCATTTTGTGTGCACTTTCCTAGGCATGCTGCCCTTGAATACATGAAGCTGCCTTCTACTGAATCAGGCAATTGGTCCATCAAACTCACTATTTTCCATTCAGACTGGCAGCAGATCTCAGGCAGAGGTCTTTCCCATCTCCTTTTGACAGTTAAAATAGGGACGGAGAAAGACAGAGAGAGGGGGGAGGGGGACAGACACAGAGAGAGGGGGGCAGAGAGGGGAAGAGAGAGAGAGAGAGACAAAGGGGGGACAGGGACAAACAGGGGGAAGAGAGAGACAGAGAGAGACAGTGAGGGGTGAAGAGAGAGAGAAAGTCAGCAAGAGAAAGGGACAGAGAGGGGGGAAAGAGAGGGCAAGAGAGCGAGAGAGAGAGAGAGAGACAGAGAGAGATGGGGGGGAGAGATGGGGGGTAGAGAGAGAGAGAGAGAGCGGGGGTGGGAAGACACACACACAGAGAGATACAGGGAGAAGGAGGGCGCCCACATCCTTCCCACCCCACCCCAGCTCACACATGCGCACACACACACCCTCCTTCCTCTCTCGATGGCACTGGCCACGGCAGACCCATGAGGGCTGCTGGGCCACATTGCTGAGAGGGAAGGAGGCACATGGCCTTCCCACCCCAGCTTGCGCACACACACACACACTCTCTCACTCGGGAGGGCATTCACACTGGCCCTCATCCTCTATAGCTGTTCTCCCTCCTTGTTTGCAGCTTGGCTTTTGCCCCAGCCCTGGGTCCCAGCTCACCTCCATGGTCTTTTCCCTCCCCCTAGCACAGTCGACTGACCCATTGCAGGCATGGGAGGGGCAAGAGAATGGATTTGAAAGGCTGGCTGCAGAAGAAGTGGTAGGCAGGGTTCCTGGGCCAGCTTGACTGGGAGACAGAGGGTTAATGTGAACAGGGAGGGGAGATCTTCTAGGGTGCCTGGGGGACAGCGGGACCTGTGGGCTCGCAGGCACTGGCACTGTCTGCCATCCCGGAGCCATTCTCCTGTCCCCGCCAGTGGGGAAGGAGAAGTGCCCTCACCTCCCGCGTCATAGACACGCACTGGCCTGCCAGGTAGCCCCACCCCTGCCATCAGTTCTGCACTCCACTGATGTCTGCGCTCTAGGCGGTTGCCAAGTTGGTCTAATGGTAGCACCGGCCCTGCTCTGGTGGCACCTCACCTTTAGAACGGCCTCCCCTTGGAGGTTCACTTGGTGCCTACATGCCAGGCCAAAACACATCATTTTACCCAGACTTTTAATTAAGGATTTTTATCTTATCAGCTTTTTAATGGTCTGCTTTATGCCACTTAAGTCCAGTGGCTTATTTTTAATATTGTGGTGATTCTGTCTATAAGCTGCCTTGAGGAGGACTCTGAAGAAGTGGCATAAAAATATCCTAAATAAATAAATACACAAAGATAGCATGAAGAATCAGGCTATGGTTTCCCAGTTTAAAAAATGAATACCTTCAAATAAATTTTAAAAACATTCCACAATACCCTCAAATGAATCTATACATAAATGAAGATTTTAAAAATACCTCATAGAAACTACAAGTTCTGAAATCTTACAAAATATACAAACACGTGATATGGTGAAGTCTGAAAAACATGGAGACAAAGTAGGGAAGACAAGCTATCTAAGAAGATAATAGCCACCAAATTCTGCTGTTAAGGAGAACATCATCCCAATAAATTCCACCAGCCACAGGTTACTGATCAGATTACCATCCAGCCATATGAGATATGTGAGGAAGTATTACCACTTAGTAAGTACTCTAACTTTGTCATCACATAAGAATGCCTGGCAGAAAAATATCATACCACTTGGGTAGTAATACAGTTGACCAAGCAACCAAGTAGTACAAAACATACCAGTTGGTTATCTATATTCGCCCAATCTCTGCCTGAAGTGGGGCATGGCTGCTTTTGTGGACGTTCATGTACATAAGATCTACGTGTACACCTAGGTTTTCTTTTGCTAAGTATTTTAGTTAAACGTGTTTTCCCCTTTGTTTTTCCTTCCCATCACAGATATTGATGAATGCCGGTTGAACAATGGTGGCTGTGATCACATCTGCAGGAACACAGTGGGCAGTTTTGAGTGCAGTTGTAAAAAGGGATATAAACTGTTGATCAATGAAAGGACCTGTCAAGGTAATATCATCTTGAGTGTTGGCACAAGAAAGTGATGCAAGGATTGCCTGAGTATGAAGGCTAAAGAAACACTGAATTGATCACGCACCCGAGAAGACAGAAATGAAAAATGTCTGAACTGTTGGTTGAGAGGTGAAAGAGGGACCTTTGTTGATTCCATGCAAAGTTTTCCACCATTTCAGCAACTCTAGACTTGCACCTTTTGTTTTCCACACAATTATCTTCCTTCCTTCCTGCACATATAATTTCCACTAACATTTCTGTTTCTTCAACTAACAGTGCTGCTTTTTTAAAATAAGAAAAGAAAAATGATCTTACCCAGCACTGTGATGTTAGAACAGTCTTTTTCATGTCTCTGGAAGGGAAGGTACACTTTGTGTTTGAATGAAAGAAACCCACCCCCCTCGCCCTCTTTCTCTGCCTTGGTGTTGTTGCTCAAACCAACAAAATTGAAATGGGGAGGCGGGCTTTACGACAGTGTTGTAACAATAATATAAGTGGCAAGTGCTTTTCTCTGCTCTCTAGATTAGTGTTTGAAAAATTTCTGAAGAGCTCTCTCCTCTTCCCGAAAGCAGTAGGATGCCAGTTAGTCTTTTCTATGAAGATGACCTCAGTGAGACAGCCATTACCTTCCAGCACTTAGCATTACCAGAGGATTCACAGTATTGCATTATTCTGGAGCAGTACTAATTTTTTAAAAAAGTTTACTGTTGGGCTGTTCTTGAGCAGCACTATGCAATGGTGAAAAAGGGTGAAAAACAGGATTACACTGTGCCATGTGGAATCTCTTTTGAAAGTGCAAATTGAACAACTGCACCATCAACATGATGGCCACAGAAAAACCCCTCATGTGGAATCAGCCTAGACATAGAATAGAACTGCATCCCTAGTCTCCATTGCACTTCGCACCAGTTTCCAACCTAGTATCAATCAGCAATAAAACAAAATGTCTGTATAGCAGTTAATTAACACCATGCATCCCCTTAGGCTTCTCTGCTGTCTGAAATTACATTCTTATTCCTCAGTCAAAATTGTTGGAAGATATAATATATAGTTAGTTCAGAGTGGAAGCTTTTGTTCTTTGTAATTCATGGTTCTGAAAACTTAATTTCCTAGCTTTAAACCAAAGCTGAAAACCTTCCTGCGCCAAGGCTAGAAATATGTTACCTCAACAAATTCGTGTTCTAAAACACAGGGGGAATCAGTGGGTGGGAGCTAATTTTCAGTCTTGGAAGCTGGTTGTGGGGAAAGTGGTCGGGGCAGGAGTTATGCTGAAATTGTACCTAGCAGGCCCCTTCAAATAGCGCCCCCCCCTGCATTATATGGTGAACCTTGTATTTGTCTTGTGACATGTAGATTCAGCCTCATTCTATAATGCACACAAAAAACGAAGAGTGAGAAATATAAAAGCCTGTCCTGATTTAAGAATTCAAAAAAGGTGGAGGGGAAACCATTTGTGACAAAATTTAACAGTATCTACCCATGAAGATAAAAACCTGGGACCTGGTTACTTGGGCCATCTAGGTAGTGGTCACACGCGTGAGATAACACGGGGGGGGGGGAGGGAGGCTATTTCCCCTGGAAGAATTTGACCCGCAGTTGCTCGATCACACAGTCCTTTGAAGCTACGGGGGCACCCCGCCACTCACTGCGTGATCAGACACAACCGCGGGTAAGTTGGGGTTGGGTTTTTTTTGCCTTTTGTTCCCGATGTGCTTAAACGGGGAATTAATTAATCACATCTCAGCACGAGGGCTCTCTATGGAGTGTGCGATGATGCACATACTGAGAAGGGGGGGAAAAACAACGGCCATCCCGACACCATGAGAGCACACTGCAGCGATCAGACAGGGGAAAGTCTGTCCGTGACCTGTAGCAACCCGTTTGCTACCAGACTTTCCCTGGTGTCTTTTTACTCCACTTCTGTGGCGGAGCAAAACGGGTTGCCGATGGGTGCGGGGCACTTCCCAGATGTTCGTGTCTGATCGCACCCTTTAAATCCACCCGGCATTCGCGTCTATGGCGCGGCTAATTGTGCGTGTGATCACACCTCTAGTTGTCTTTCTTATATCAGATCATTTAATTCCTGGCAATAGATATACCTTAACAATATTTTTGGTTTCTTATGGGTATAGTACACAAGTAATAATACTGGAGAATCTTTCCTTCCATTTTATCTTTTTATTACAACATAAATATATGCACCTTTAACACTGACTAAATCAAAAGAAAGCTATACCATCCGTTAGTGCTACTTAGGTAATTAAGGCAGAACAATTATATGACTTCATTAAACTACCTTACCCAAAGATAAGCAGGTCACACACAAGTAGCCCCTTCTAAGAAGAAACTGCTAATTAATTCAGACTTGATTGTTTATGGGTTTTTAAGATCCTCTCCCAACAGTAGTTAGCTGTCCTACTTGATAAGGGCGTACCTTCTTGCCTAACTATTTATCTTACCACTTCAAACCCCATACAAAGTGGTCTAACTTGAATATCTTCTTAAAATATCTAAAAACTTGTTGGTTTTGCCACTTTTTATTATAACAAAGTATATTTAAATATAGTGATTACAAGTTTCTCATAACTATGACTTTCAGTTGGGCATCAACCATACACCCCATCTTTGAACTATATCTGTGAAGTCTGAGCATTTTTGCCATTCTCAGATACTTTTCACACTTGAATCAGAATATAATCCAACTTTTGCTACAGTCATCCAGTGTTGCTATGCTTTTCCTCAAAATGCCTAGTAGAAACAATAGAATAACCTATATCTCCCTTTACTAATAGCTTGGAAACACATAACATGTTGGACAGCAGCCCCCATACTGTATGCTGTTGACTGACACCAGATCACAATCCAGACCTGAAGAAGCAACGTGCTCAAGTGTACAGCTGTGTTTCACATCAGGCTCTTCTTCCCTCTCTGAATCAGCAGCTGGAATTTCTCCCCTCCCTGCTGGCTGGGGCAGGCTTCAGCTAACATGTGATCTAGTACAGGTGTTTTATTCTAAATGCACACGGCCTGGCCCTAGGGAAACCAGGCGTGTGTTGAGAGCTGAGGCAGGGAGCACTGCCGTATGCTTAGACTATGACCTCTTTCATCTCCATCCAGGCTCTGCCTTCACTGGGCTTTTTTAATGAGATTGTGGCAATTAACTTAATGAAACCACTGACATAAACATAAAGCCAATCAGCTGGCTGCGCCTTGCAGACACAGTTAAATTTCCTGTAGAGAAAAGTAAATGGTTAGGCATCTCCCTTGGCAAAGACTCTGCTAGGATGGCACATCTTCTACTGGGGGTGGGGTGAGAAAGAACTATTTAAGAGCATCTCACTGCATTTGTGTTGTTAGGAAGTTTGGATATACTTTGCCTATTCTCAGACTTTTTTTCTCTTCTGCCTTTATGACTTCTTGTATCAGCTCTGGGATTCAATACTTTGTTTTGCTTGATGGAAATGCATTGGAAGGTAGCTGATGAATGATAATCTTGGCCCACGTATAAAAGATCAAACTCTTGTGTAATGTATTAATAAATCAGGAATAAATTGCCAGTATTCCTCCCCATTCCCAGTTCTAGATTAATAACTGCTAACTCAACTAAAAATCTTTATTTGCCTTGTAAGCTTGTATTGCCTATGGAAAAAACCAGGGTCCCTTATCTTCCCTTTTGAGCATGACCTAGTGGTTAAAGGGTGACAGATGTGCACTAAATGGTGTTATTTGTTCTTGATTGTAATTCTTAGGTATTGGGGGAGAGGTATGTCAGCTAGGTATTTTGTCTTGCTTCTCTTAGACTGGAAAGTAGATAGGGCCATTTTCTTCCTCTGCCCTTTGACAATGGATACAGTTGCAGAATTTCTCACTCTTGAAGAAAGTAAACTGGGCCTCAGGGAGGTACCGCTGTATAGTTGTTCAAATGTGTTTCATGCTCTCTTTTCCTGTTCCCAGATATTGATGAATGCTCCTTTGACAGAACCTGTGACCACATCTGCATAAACACACCAGGGAGCTTCCAGTGCCTGTGTCACAAAGGCTACACACTGTATGGGCTCACCCACTGTGGAGGTATCAGCATGGTCATTGGGGAGGAATTGGGATTTGGGCTGTCTTTATAACCCCTGTGCTGCCTCTTTCCTTACTCTTAACCCTGCTATCTTTCCCAACTGTTCTCTTTCTGTTCCAAGTTGGAGCCCTCAGACCTCCAAAGACCAATTCAGATTTTCTGAGATCACGGAGGAGATAGCACCTATAGAAACTGACAGTACAATCCTAACACAGTTATACCCTTCTTAGCCCATTGCCTTCAGTAGTCTTAGAAGGGTATAACTGTTTAGTACTGCGTTGCTGGTTTCAGTTACAGAGTAGAAGCTTTGAAGAAGTCTGCATAGCCAGTGATTTCGTTTCTTGGGGGGGTATTTTTTGGTATTTTTCATATATGCGTGTGTGCATGTGTGTCTGCAGCTGGAAGTCATGGTGACCTCTTGTGACTGATCCCTATGGGGGGCCTGGAGGATATTTAGAGAGGTGGCTGGATAAAGCCTGCCTCTGTCCTCCCGACTGCTGGTATTCCAAGGAGGTCTCCCATCCAAGTACTTGCCAGAGTCAACTCTAATTAGCTTCTGAGATCTGATGAGATTGGGCTTGCCTGGGCTATCGAGGTCAGGGCGCCAGTGTTTACTTTGCTGAGCTCAAAGCATCGGCGTCATCTTCGCGGGGGCTGGGGAGCTGGCGCCTTCCCTGAACTTTCTGAGCCCCCCGGTGGGGTCAACCAGTGCCAGACAGAGCCTTGCCCCACACACACACCGTGCCCCCACCCCATTTTGAAAACGGAGGGTTTTTTCCCTCTTTTTTCTGTCGGAAGGGTTGGGACTGGGAGGGAAGTCAGGGCGGGGGTTTGCTTCCTAGAAACTAAGCCTCACCCCCAGCTCCCAGCAGCCCTCAGTTCAGTCTGGAGGAGCTGGAGCCTGCTGCACATAGAATGCCTTCGCAAGCTGGAGCTGGGGGGGGTTAGCCTCCGGGGTAGTTTGTTCCCCAGGCCCCAGCCTATGCTGCTATGGAGACTCAAAACCCTGGGATGGGGGGAGGTGCGCCTCTTTGCTCTCTGGTGCCGCCGCCGGGCAGCTGGCCTGACCCTAGGCTGGCCATGCATGCTCCAAAGTGTGTTCCCTTTAAGGTGAGTCCTGTGCGCTAGGCACACTAATTTTTACTTCTGAGCGCACAGCTGTTTGGCTGAGCGCAGGGTGATGAAATTCCCTCTGGCTGCTTCCTTTCTGGGCTGCTGTGGTTGCAGCTTGCTTTTGCTCAGCTCACTCAATTGTGGGCGGCAGAGCTACAAAGCCGAGCAAACCCCCCCCCTCCTCCTTGGGGGGGGGAAGGGAGGGTGAAGGAGGGAGAGCATGTCAGAGGTGCAAGCTTTCCTGTGGTTTGGAATTTACAGTAAGCAGACTTGGGGGGAGGTACTAACTGTCATTTTCCATTTGTTTTCCATTTTGCTTTAAAGTTCACATATTTGTTTATTCATTTCCCTGTATATTTGTGTGCATTCATGCCATAGCTTGGCTCTAGTTATTGCTTTCCCCTTTAAATGTTGACTCTTGTCTCAGCTGCGGTTTATTTCTTGTTGCCAGTCCTTGCCTTATGTGATTTATTGCACTCAGCTGCTTGATTTCTTTACCTTTTCTCTGCTATACAACAAATCCACCCCTCCCACCCTCCTTTGGGTGCCGTTGAGTGGTGAATAGGGTGAGTGGACTCCTTCACTTCATTTAATTTTACACTTGCCAAAGTGTCTCTCTCTCAGAGTTTTTGATATTTGATTGTCTTTCTCCCTTTCCTTCTGCATTGGAGATTTGATGTTGAGCTCTCCCTGCAGTTGGAGCGACAACAGCTTAAAGGCTTGGGGGGGGGGGTTTCCTTTTGATTACCATCTGAGGAAGTGTGCTTGCACAGGAAAGCTTATACTTTGAATAAAACTGTTGGTCTTAAAGGTGCCACTGCACTCAAATTTTGTTCATCTGACTCTCAATTAGGTTCTACCCCCCCCCTTACTTCGATCTTTATCACAGTTGCCAAAGAAAGGGATATAAGAAAGGCTGAGGAAGAACAGCAAGGAAAAACCTTTGAATCATTTAGAACAGCCTGAGCAAGCAGGGGGTCCTTTAATGCAATTTGCAACCTTAGTGTGACTGTTGAAGCCATGACTTACTTTTCTCCTTCATTCTACCCTGTTCTGTTTTGTTGTTTTACTTTTAATTTGCTCAGTGTCTTTTAAGGTTGAGACTGACAGGGAGTGGGACATGTATTCATTTTCTTTCTCCATTAAAAAAAATATTTCTCGGGTAGTAATTTTAAAAGTGTTGATTTTAACTTTAATTCTAATAATCTCAATAATCTTGATTCTAAATAATGAATTATCTAACTAGATATTTTACATATTTATATAGGGGACAGATATCATTTTATAAGGGTTAGAGAGGTTGGGTTTTTTCCTTTTCTCAGTACTCTTAGAAATTAATTTAATACAGTATACTCTAGTATAATTGAGATAGGGGCCTTTGTTATTTTGGTAATCTGTTTGTGGATGAATATAGTATCAGGGATATGAGAAATACAAGCTCAAAAATTAATTAAGCTTTCCTGTGCACACACACTTCTTCAGAATGAAGGGAGATTCTTCTGACAAGCGCCCCCCCCCCAATGGTAGGCTTGTTTTACTCCCAATGCTTTCATCACAACAGGCTTAGGTCCAAGGCATTCCATAGGTCTTACTTCTGTGTTAGCATTCTACCCTGCTGAGGTCTCTCCCCTCCCCAAACCCTGCCCCCCCAGGGCTCCATCCCCAAGTTTCCCACTCCAGAGTTGGCAACCCTATGTTTAGACTATATGGGATATTTGATAAGATGGAAATATGAGCACTGAACTGTATCTGAATTAGACTCTTATTTGACTTTTCCAGATAGAGTAAGTGATGATGCCCAGTGATTGATCTTCTCTGAAGGCATTTCAAAATTTATGTTATTCCTATGAACAGGCCCTCATGTATAGAGAGTCTTTAGGAAGACAGATCTCTGGAGACAGAAAAAGCTGAGTGGGGAAAGAGATTTGATGACATTCCTTACAGCAGGAAGAGAAGGTCTCTTGCGACTGGATCCATCAGGTTTTTGGTTGTATCTTTGCATACTGTAGGTTAATAACTAAGTTTTTTGATATCCAGAATATATCAGTCCTTGAATATGTTTGGTGTCTGTCAGAAAAGAAAGTACAGTCCTTAACCCTGGCTGTCTCCACCCACTTTCAATGTAGCAACAGTCAGACTGCAAAGCCTCTGTTGGGCCCAACGTACTTGCTGGGCTCCAATTTACATTTTTGGGGAAGTGTATCCCTATTTTATTTTACTTGGGTCTATATATCCTTGATTGAGAACAGATGTTGTTTTTTTCATGGTAGTGGGGCAGCCCTGCTTCAACCACTCCTAAGTTCTTCTTTCAATTTCCATTTCATTTTTAAATGGTAAGCTCATCTGCATGAACAAGATTGGGGGGCATGCAGATCAAAGGCCTTTTAAATGTGCACTCTGTACATGTTCATGCTCTTCATTTTGCTGTTACTTAAAATGGTGTGGTACAGTTTCAAAGGGACAACTAACTGGGATGTATAAAAGGAATGGCAGGATTGCCCATTGGAAACAATGGGAGAGGCTTGAAG